GTTGCCTTTTTGTTGATGATGCTTCAGTAATTTCTGTATCATTGAGGGATCAGAGACAGTCCAAGATTTCGTGCAGATGCAGCTTCAGGAAATCCAAGATAACATAAGGAGTAGACGCAATAAGATCTTTCTACTCATGGAGGAAGTTAGGAGGTTACGAGTTCAGCAACGGATTAAGAGTGTTAAAGCCATTAATGACCACAGTGAGCTCGAAGTAACCGAGATGCCTGAGATACCATCTTCCATTCCTTTTCTCCCTAATGTGGTCAGTTACTTAGACAAGACATATCCTTCTTATGAAATGTTCTCTCTTGTTCAGGTGTTGTTATGTTTCCTAACTCTTTGTTTGCTCTTGTCTTTTGAAATAGACACCAAAGACTTTGAAACAACTTTACTTGACCAGCGTTGTATTTATATCGGGAATCATTTTCTTTGGTGGTCTGATTGCACCTAATGTAAGTAACAAGAATAGAGTCCACTGCACTTTTCCTTCTTTATGTTCTCTTATGACAAATATCAAAGCTCTAAAGTTTGTTAACGTTGTCGTTTGTGAAATCTTGTTTAAGTCAATGCTTTACACAATGTCATCGCTCTTGGAAACCTACTAACCTTACATTTACGATTGAGTTATTTAAGGTAATGGCAACTAGATTCCTGGCTATTCTGCAGGATCTATGCGGTAGTTAGTGAAGGAACCATTGGCGCATCAATATGAAAATACATGCTTTTGGTTAATAGCAATACAGAGATGTTGAGATTAGTAATGTACTCTGATTTTCTATGAGATTTGATACTGCAACTCTCACAGAAAAGTAAAGCTATGCTTAGACATTCATATAACCTGTAGGAGCATGTGTATATGAACGTCACTTATTAGTTATTCGTGCCTCTCGGGTTTCATAATTCTTGAATGAAAAATTTATAATTTTATATGGCAGCTGGAGCTCAAGGTAGGACTAGGAGGAACCTCGTATGAAGATTTTATAAGGAGCTTACATCTACCCCTGCAGTTAAGGTACTGCTACAAGTTAAATTGCTTGAGCATCAAACCAGTATGATTGAAAATATAACCAAACTAGTCAACTTGACTGGTCCTGAATCTGAAACAGGGACATTGAAAGAAATCATTTTTTGTTCTGTCTTAACCCAGCCAAGTAGATCCCATTGTGGCATCTTTTTCTGGCGGCGCTGTGGGTGTCATTTCGACCTTGATGCTAATCGAAGTTAACAATGTTAAACAACAAGAGAAGAAGAGGTGCAAGTACTGCCTTGGGACTGGTAATTTATACTATCAGTCTCATGGGTTATAATGAATATTCTTGACTTTTTTCTTTAAACAGTTTATAAATGGTCTGTGTTTGTGTTTGTGTTTGTTTGACCCCTTCCTATAGGATACTTGCCATGTGCTCGATGTTCAGCAAGTGGTGTGTGCCTAAGCATTAATCCCATAACACGACCTAGAGCTTCAAACCAGCTTCTGCAAGTACCGACAACAAAGAGGTGTCTAAATTGTTCTGGCGCAGGAAAGGTAAGATGTTCATACAATCTGATCTCAGTATTTATGCTTCATTCTTGTCCTTATGATGCCAAATGATGTATTTGTATACGAAATCAGGTGATGTGTCCGACATGTCTCTGTACTGGGATGGTCACGGCTAGCGAGCATGACCCACGATTTGACCCTTTTGACTAAAAACTGAGGACCTCGCCTTTCAATTTTATGTTTGTTTCTATGTACATTAAGGCTAAGCCAACCAAACCTCTGTAATACAAAATGTTTTACATAGTAAAGAAAGTTGGAATTTATAACATCCGTACTAGTAAGACTTCAGAATGTGTAGCTTATGTAAAACTCTTCTTTGCCAGTATAAATTCACCGACAATCTTGGTGAAGATAGGCTTAATTCAGGCTCCTTGTTATCAAAATTCAACACGTACCTGTATAAAACCGCTTATCGTCAACCGAGCAATCCTATGGACATGAGAGCTTTGATAACGTTATGCATATGGTTGCAGAAACCACATGTTTTAGTGGCCAATCTATATTCTTCACCAGAAAACTCATTCTTCTTCTTCTTCACCGTCTCTGCAGAATTGCTTTTACAAAAATCTCTCTCTCATGCATCGGTCGAGTGTTTTTTATGAGCAAACGTATTTTTTCATT